CCGGAAAACAAGTTTTGAAAATCAATCAATTCTAGTGAAGTTTGTATCGGACATTTACTTTTCCAGGAAAAATTAGATGAGACCAGCGGATTTGTAAAGCAGAGAAATATAAAAGATTTTTATTGTAACGAGACAAGTGAAACATGCTTTAGAAGGAGGGGTGGGGCAATTTGCCAAGTAAAAAAATTCAGCTAATAAATAACTTGAATAAAAAACCTAAAAGTCATCAAAGTCCTCATAATCTTCCGTATCATCGTTTTGGCCGTCCATCGTGTCAAGGTTCACCCGGTAGCGTAAGAGGCCTCCAATGCCGCCGAAACCCTTGACAAACTGCGAGCCCTCCTGTGATCGATCAGTGATGATTTCAAGTGTAGCGCCAAAGTTTTTGTAATTGTTTGCCAGCCATTCAAGCAAAGGCAATGACTCAATCAGTTCCAGCTCAACACCGGTGACACTGTCTACAAAGTGAGTTCTGTCCCTTTCCTGTTCAGGCGTCAGTTGCAAAGTGGTCTCCTCGCCGGTAGATGCGTTTTTGAGTTGATAGCGCATTATGTTCAAGTTTTCCCAGCAAATCAGCGTCTCAACAGCTCCCATCTCCAGCGCCTTGAGAGTGTCGCCCACACCAAAGCAGTACTTGCCGGTGTCTTGGTAGATTTCATCAAAATACTTGCCTGCAAAATTTTGTTTTTAAGAAACATACGCAAACACGTGTTTGAGGTGGTACGTACCGATCAATTTCTTTTCCTGAATAAATTTGACGTTGGTGAGCACTTCTGCGGAGAGTTCAATAGCCTGATTGAAGCCGTTTTCGCCACCATATGAAACGTCCACCAGTTTTAGCACTTTGGTTTGTAGCCGCTGCAATTGTAAACAACACAGATTTCGGTTAATTCCACTGAGCAGTAAAACACAATTGTCTGTAGGCAGAACGTACAGGATCAAACATGTCCGATTGGTTAAGCTCCGTTTTAAAGTCAGCTGAACCAGCGAGAATGAGTCCGGAAATGTTGGGCTTGTCGTTTGAAATGAATAGCTGTACAGCAACCTCGGCCACCTTTCTGACGTAATTGTGACGCTTTTCCATACGCAGACGAGCAAAACGAAGCGCAGATTGACCACCTCGACCTGTAGTGATGAGAGAAAAAATGAGCATAAGCCTAGAATCTCCAAAGGCATTCAACTTGCCGTGCTTTTTCGGTAGATCGACGGGAAACTTATGAAGGACGTCTCTGGTGTTTCCTTGTAGCGTTCCAAAGAGGGCTCCGTTACCGTCCATTACGATGAAGCCAAACTTGTTGTCATCTGCAAGGAGGGCGGATAGTGCTTCGGTGTGAAACTTGTTATCACAAAGATAAAGTGATGTATTGATGGCCTTAAAGGGCTCAAAATCAATGTTGACTTTCTTCTCTTTGCCTTCTTCAGTAACAATTGTTCCACAGTAGATGACGAGTCCATTTCCCGGTACCTTGGTGTACAGTTTGAGTCGCTGCTGTACAGATGTGATGGCACCGAGGACGGAGAGGCGATTCACTCGACTTTTAATGTTGGATGCGGTGCCGAATTCATCAGCCAACATTTTGGCAACCCGAGAAATTTGATCCTTTGGTGGAATGATGAGGGAAATCATGGAGGTGCCGTTTCTGAAAGGAAGCAGTTGGGTTTGTTTATTGTTTTGCATTTGCTAAACGTATGCTTACCCTCTGGCCGCCTCCAAGCTTTTGATGAGCTTTTTTACTTTCCATATTTGAACGTTGCGATCGGCGCTTGATTCATCGATGGACATTTTGACCTAGGCGGACTGAAGAGAAGAAAAGAGGAGAACTTCAATACAAAAGAGAACAGAGACGGTGCGTGGTGTGCGTGTTGTGTGCTGATGCTGAACAGATGCTGCGGCTTTAAGCGGCGCGTGCAGGTCACAACGCCGGGAGTCAAAACTTTTGCTACTGACGAGCCAGATAAGCCCAGTTTCAAATTATCAGCTACGGACCGGAAGACTCACAATCAAAAGGCCGGGCCAATCACAAATAAACCAATCCGAAGTGGACGAAGAAAAGAATATATGACTGCCACGAAAGCTTGCAATGGTGTAGTGAGACTGTGCTTCACGCACTGGTGTCGCTTGCAGCAGAGCTTGAGTGGAAGTGTCTTTTTAGCGGCACCACAAAAGTCGCTAACCCTTTCAAGAGCGGCCTTTCCGCTGTGCTCCTCACTCTTCGAAGAGGAGCTCACCGCAGACAGCGCTTGTGTGCCCGGTGCAGCCGGCAAAAAAGAGAAATGCTGCTCTAATCACAAATCCCGTAAAAACGTGTTTCTCAGTAGCGACCTCTAGTGGTGTACGGCAACGACTGCTGTCCGGGGCACCGTCGTTGCTGATGCAGCTGGTGCACCACCAGTGTACGATAACCACCAGCATGATTTGAAGAAAATGACAACGCCAGCCAAAGCTCCAGTCATTCCCGACGTAAGCTATGCTCTTGTTCACAACTTAATTTACTGATAAAATTGCTTAGTCGCACACAGTAACTGCGCAATACATCAACTGAAACTGGAATTACATTGGAAAAGAANAGCCAAAGCTCCAGTCATTCCCGACGTAAGCTATGCTCTTGTTCACAACTCAATTTACTGATAAAATTGCTTAGTCGCACACAATAACTGCGCAATACATCAACTGAAACTGGAATTACATTGGAAAAGACAGGGGGAAATGTTGCAATATTAAAGTGCTCTCTCCCTACTCAATGGAAAGATTATGATGATGATGACAGGCGGTGTCAGCTAGTCTTCATCATCTCCAGCAGGCAGCCAACGGCGCCAAAGTAGCCCTCGTGCTCGAGAAAGAGCGCCTTGAGGGCGCCGTCTGACCAAAAGTCCATTGCATAGGCGAGCAACTTGAGGGAGATTTCATTGACACGGAGAAAGTTGCCCACAAAGACCACTCGCTCGACGCCCTCTGCCATGGCGCACATCTTCGCAATGGAGCCAATGTTGTTGGTGATGGTGACCAAGGTGGCCTTGGCAAGGTCTGCCTTGCTCGCCTGTGCCCTCTTCTCACTGCAGGACATGTTGCCAAAGCTGGACGCCACAATGTCTCCACTGAGACTGAATTTAGAGTAGTCGCCGCCGTAGATTTCGCGGACTGATTTGTCCACCTTGGTAGAGTCGCCAGCGGCGGCCAGCTCAATTGCCTCTTCAAAAGTTTCACAACCAGTTAGCAGCGAGCAAAGGCCAAGAAAGGTGCCACCCCCAAGACTGGATCCGCTAATTCGCTTGTAAGAGTCAGGGGAGTAGACAGCAAGAACACTCACTCCCGAGCCAATGTTGACCACCAGAAAGGGATATGGCTGGGAAAAGTCAAATGCCGTTTTCTCCGCCAGTTCAGGGTCACGAGCGTGGCGAAAGTAGTAGCATTCATGTGTATTGTAAGCTTCAATGTAGTGAATGCCGTGAATCAGAGAGTCAAGTTCGTCAAACTTGTGCAACTGCAAGTCCACTTCTCGCTGGAAATCCTTTTCAAATTTGAAGGCACCACCGCCAGTGGCACAAACTGTGCTCGACAGTGAGGCAATTCCCTTTGACTTGGCCAAATTGATGAATACTGGCATTTCTGATGTGGGAAATCGTATAAAGTGCAAAGTCCCGACGCGTCCATTTATACAGCAGTTGTCCATTTGCAGATGAATATCTCTTATACCCGTCCTGCCGTAGCTGGAACTTCGCTTCAAATAGTGCCGAATTTGATATAGAACTTCCGATTCATCCGATGAAGAGTTTGGAGGAATATCAGTCGGTTCAAAGTATACGAGCTTCACCAGAGTGCCGCCAATGTCCATTCCAAACCAGGGCATTGCTACAAAGTTGTACAAAAGGGGATTAATAGAGTTACTAAAAAGCCTGGTCAACTTACTTGGCTGATTTGGGTCACCCAGTATAAAACCATTCTGCAAAGCAGACTCCTTGCTAATATCATCTCCAGAAATCACTTCGGCCTTTTTCTGAGCACTAGTAGGATTTTGGTCTGTTGATTTTGTCTGCTCTTCCATTTTTCCGTTTTGTTTGTTCTGGTGGTGGNACTTCGGCCTTTTTCTGAGCACTAGTAGGATTTTGGTCTGTTGATTTTGTTTGCTCTTCCATTTTTCCGTTTTGCTTGTTCTGGTGGTGATGGTGGTGCGGCTGGAAACGGTTAGCACGATCCGAAGATACTGGGTCGTTGTTTTTGTTATTGCTGCTGTTGACCTTGTTGTTGTTCACGCGAACCAAATCTGCGTCGCCGTTGTGATAAATCTTATCACCGTCACCCTCATCGATACTGTTTCTAGCACTCGAGTTGCTCGAGATCACTTGTGAAAGTAGCTTTCGAGATCGTAAGAGTGCAATTTCTTTTCGATTAAGATAACTAGGTCGTCTGTACGGATTTATAGGTGGTGAGTAAGCGATGTTTTCTTTGCTCGGAGTGTTGACCACAGCCGCGTCTGTTGGCTGACTGGGAGTGTTGATGCCGTTGCTCTGACTGCAGTTGAGGCTGATTGCACTGGGGAAGGTAGGGAAAAAGAAGATTTATATGAGAAAAAATAACAAGGACCCTAAAGCTCGTTCAAAACAAAAAATGTGATGCGGCGCAGAACTCTCTTAGCCCGAGTCTGTGTGTGTTTGTCTGTTTGCAAACACATGTGTGCAAAGGGCACGTGCTCTGTGAATCAAACCATAATTTCCAAGGCGACAATCGCTGCACTGCCAGCCTTATCTCTATCTCTATCTCTCTCT